GACGTAGCCGGCCGGGCCCCCCCCCGCCAAGGCCTGTGCCGGCTGGCAGAGCCCCGGGCACGGCTCCGCAGCCTCCACCGCACCTCTGTGCCCCCGCAAACAGCCCGTGGGGACGGAGCCACTCGCGTTCTGCCCTGCGCCTGGGTCCAAACCCGCTTGCACCGGCCCTGCGGGTTCCCGGCTTTGCTGCAGGCACTGCGGGGTTAACGGGCTGGGGGGCAGCGGAGCAGGAGAGGGCTACCGCCTTCCCCGGGGGCCCTGAGGCTGATGCAGGGGCTGTGCACCCCTCACGTTTTGCAATTAGCTGGAGTGGCAAGCAGGCAGCCTCTGGAAGGGGCCAGCAGCCCCTGGCCGCTGCCCTCACCCACAACGGGGACATTTTCTGCTCTTTCCACATCTTCATCGCTGAGAAGCGCTTGCAGGGAGCCCGGGGCTGGCTGGGAGGCAGGGGGGTGGGAGGCTTTGCCAGGCATCGCTGCACAATGAGGCTGCCATGTTTGTGTGCCTCCCAGGCCACTGGTCTTGTTCCCTCTGATTTCATCTGCCTCCAAAGCCAGGTCTGGCTCCCGCTTGTTTATATCTGTCTGGAGGGCTCAGGCAATAAAAAGCACACTCATTTTCTTGCTTCTCTGCCAGTATCTGCAGCAAGCAGGGAAAAAAAAAAAAAAACAACCTTAAAGGGACTTTCTGACCTCAGTCAAGTAATTCGCCCTTCCTCCAGCCCTGGGGCTGCTGCTTTTTTTCCAGTGGCTCAGAGGACTCAGACCTCCTGTCGAGCCTGGCACCAACCCATGGCATCCCGCTCACCTCAGAGCTCAGAGAGGGGCCGGGCTGTGCGTGTCCCCCCTGGTGTGAGACGGGTGCTGGGCTGGTGCGGACAGAGCCGGGGACTCCCGTTGGAGCTTCCTGCCAGTGCCCGGGGTGGCGGGAGCCGAGCTCCGGCAGAGGGCACAAGCCCCGTCCCTGCGAGGCGATGGGGCGATGCTCCAGCACGACTCACACCAGCTGCCCAGCGTGGCAGAGCCAGGGACCAAGCCTGGAGCGGCTGCTTCCTTTTGAGTTCACCCTCTGCCCCGGCTTTGCCTCAGATGCCAACTCCCCAGCCCCAGCCTGGCTCCAGGCTGGCTGGGTGCAGAGGGGCGAGGGGGCCGCAGCTGAAACCCACCCCCTGGCCCAGAGCAGGGCCCGCAGCTGCTCTGCCGCACTGGTGCCCCAGGGACCCTTGCCTTTCCCCAGCCCAGCCCAGCCCTGCATCCCCTCCATCACCAAAGTCATTGTAACACTGGGCTCTGTCCCCGCAGCGCCGGCATCGCGGGCTCTTTGCAGAGCAGAGGTGCTTGGCTCCAGCTGCCCGAAGGAGCCTCCTTGACTGGGGGGAAACCGCCCCGCTCCCCTGCCTGCGGAGGCGATGCTGCCGCGGCCGCGCAGCCGGGCGGGAGCTCTCCCCCCATGCCAACCAGCACAAACAAAACCGGAGCCTCCCCAGAGGCCGGCCATGCCCTGGGCAATGCGCGGTCGCCTTTGTCTTGCCTTCTCCTCGCTGTCTCCTGCTCCGTGGCAGGTGATGGGGTGAAAGCCAGTAATTGCTCTAAGTGCGATCAATAAATCAAGGTAATAGAATTACATTTGCTGTTGCCATATTAGGAACCGCTTCCCTGCTCTCTCCTCTCTCCGCCCTCCTTGGTTTTGTTTTTGAACTGCTGCAGAGCACTGGAATGAGTCGGGCTCCTCCGTGCTCTCAAGGTGGCTCCAGTGGAGCCCAGCAGGGACTCGGGTCCCTGCCCGGCACGGGCGGCTCTGGGTGCACGTTCCCAGGGGCTGGGGGTCGGCCCGAGGGAAGGCGCTGGGTCCCCGTGGAGGTCACAGGCGTTTTACCACATGCACGTGCAGAGCGCTCTGGGGACCGTGGGCACCCCATGGCGTGGAGACGGGATCGGGGACCCCGCGGCCTGGGGACGGGAGCAAAGCCGGGCACAGAACAACAGCCCCCGCTGGCCCTGTGCCCACCACAGCAGCGTGTTTGCCTGCAGCCCTGGGGAGATGGAGCTGCTCTCCTCTCCTGTGCAAGTCCCTGGAGGCCGGGGGATTATTTTCATCTCATTTGCAGCTGGTCTCAGGCTCTGGAGAGTTAGCTTCACATCAAGGGCTTTCCCCTGGCTGCCTTTAATCATTACTTAAAGGAAAGCCTGTGTGAATAAAGGCTGGATCGCCACCTCGATGCATGCATGGGCAGGGGGGAGCCCTGCAGCATCTCGGCACCCCGCCGCTCTGCGGGCAGAGTCCTGCCCCACTGCCAGATCCCTGCAGTCTCTCCCGGCCACCCCGGCCACTGCCACGTGCGCACGCCGGTCGGCAGCCCCACGCACCCTGGACCAAGCGATGCTGCTGGGGCGGCCAACTCGAGTGGAGGGGCGAGCAGGGCTGGCCCCCGCCCTGCCACTCCCCAGCGGCACCCGATTTGCATAACTTCTCTAAACTGTGCCTAATTAATCTCCTTACACCTCTGGCACCGCATTAGGGGAATCAAGATCAAGTGCTCTCCAATCTGTGAAGGATTAATTAGGGGAGGAGAGCACGTGCTCGCACAGCCAAGCAGGTGAGTGCTGCTCTCGCACCACAGCCCCCCGGCGGTGCCGAGCCCCTCTGGCCCCGGGCCCAGCTGCCCCCTCCCCATCTCCCCTGGGCGCCAGGCTCGGGAAAAGGGCCGGGATCCTCCCAGGAAGGCGCTACCCCGACCGCAGCCGGCCGAGACGCCGGCACCGAGCGGGGCTGCAGTGGTGCAGGGAGGACCCTTCAGCAGCCTCCTGTGCCGCCGCCCCTGGGGTGGCCGTGGGTCCCTGTTCAACCTTCCCGGCCCCAGCCTGGCTCCCGCTCCAGCCAGGAGGTGCCCGCGGGCACACCAGCGCTGCAGCCGGGAGAGCCGGCAGCCGAGCAGACCTGCCCATCACCGTCCATCCGCCCGAGTGCTTACAGTGACCGTGAGCCTGGCAAAAATAAGCCCTACGGGGAGGGGGCAGAGATGGTGGCTCTGTCCCGAGGCCGAGGCGGCCGGGTGGGAGAGCCCGGGGGAAGCAGGGGCTTGGCAGGAGCTCGGTTTGATCTCGGATTCATCGTGGAAGCCAGAAGAAACGTAAAACTTTCGAAGGCCAGGCGGCAGGGGGGCTCCGTCAGGCTGCAGCGAGGGGGAAGGGGCCCGGGGGAAGCAGGGGCTTGGCAGGAGCTCGGTTTGATCTCGGATTCATCGTGGAAGCCAGAAGAAACGTAAAACTTTCGAAGGCCAGGCGGCAGGGGGGCTCCGTCAGGCTGCAGCGAGGGGGAAGCTTGGGGCAGGGCAGTGGGGGCGGGCGGTGGGGACACGTTTCGCCGGGCAGCCAGGAGCGCCCGCCGCCCCCCGACCGGCCGGGG